ATTCTTTTCAACTTTGTAAGAGTGTAGCACACTTAGTGTTCTTGACTTAGAAAGTTTGTGTAAAATCTGTGGAGGATTGTTTCATCTGTGAAAATGGTGCTAGCACCTTGTGAAGCTAGAGTATAGTGAAAAATCTCAAGTGAAACTTAAGGAATGGACGTAGGCCGAGTTGAAACCGAACCACTATAAATTTGTTTGTCTCTCTCTTCCTTATCTCTTTATTTTATTTAAATTGCCATAGCTATATTTCACATTTTTATTGTGCTAAAATCATTAATTGATATAGTTGTTAGAACACTTGTTTTAATTATTTTTATTTCATCAACTATATTTATCTATTGTGCTAGTCATAATTTTTATTAGGGTATTATTATTTTTATTTGTAAAAACCTAATTCACCTCCCTCTTAGGTTGTCTTTTGGGTAACAGTGGTACATCGGGTTTTTAATTATCGTTTAAGGTATTTGATTATGATGTATTATAATATTTTTATATGACAATATTTAAGTATTTTATTACAAGAAAAAGTGCTTAAGGTGAGTTGCCTCAAATATAGGATTTATACTTATATCAATAAAATTATAGAGTTATTTATATTGATACATAAAAAATTATAAATTCAAATTATAAACAGTATCCTCAAAGGGAATCATGCACAAAATCTCTATAACATTAATAGTTTCAGTTCTCAAATGAGTTTTGATTAATTATATGAAACATCATAATAATTGCAAAAAATTTATTCCGACCAAATTATTTTTGCATATTTTTTCTAATAGAACTCATGAAAGTACATTATCAAGCCTCATTTGGAAAGTGACCGGTTTGGTAAAAAAGCCAAAAGTTATTAAAAAAGTCAAAAAGCCAACAACACATACTAAAAAGTCAAAGATTCTCTTTTCTCTCTACTTTTTGCACATCTTTTCGTAAAAAATTAAAAAGTCATCCCAAACATACTAGTTTTTTTTGGTTCATATTTTAGTCAAATAGCCAAAAAATTACTAAATTAGCCTGTTCCTAAACGAGGGCTCAGTAATACTATAATTTCAAATTTTCATTTTTAATACTTCACACTATTTATCATTTGATATTTGTTAATTTATCTTCTAAAAACTTAACAAAAAAGTATTGAGTTTCACTATTTTAATCAATCAATATCAAATTGGACGCTACATCTGTATCTAAATCACTTCTTGAAAAATGATGTCTGACATAAAATCACAATAGAGTTAACTTTAATTAATATAATGATATTTTATACTATGATATGTATTACAAAAGAATAAAATTAATTTTAATTATTTATTTTCATAATCTTAGCCTTATCGTTCTATAAAAGTTTTATTTGAATATTTATATATATAATAAATTTAATTAAATTATTTGTTTACTTTGATGATTTTAGTTCTATTGTACTATAAAATTATAATTATTATATAATAATTTTATATGATATATACTAAATTATAAGATAGTAAAATAAATACACATTTTGATATTAAAAATAATAGTTAAATTAGGAAGGGAATTAGTAATATAAAACTAAAATTGATTCAAATTATTTATTTTTATTTTTATATTTATTTAGAAAATAAAAATATGTAGAAATAGAACCATACAAAATTTATTTTAAAAATTAAATATAAATATATTGTGATTGAATTAAGAAAAAAAATACATAAATTAATTATGTAGAGTATACATTCTATCTTATTTATTTATTTATTTAATTATTTTTCGAGATGATTTTTTTTTCAAATACCATAATAATTAAATTAAAATTTCAACTATATAAAAGAAATTTAACAATGACAAAACTAATATTAATGAAAAATATATAAGAAATAAGGCTCTGTTGGAAACGCTTTTTCAAAGCTAATTCCACCCTTTTAATGGAGTTTCATGTTTGTTTACAGTTTTTCAAAGTTAATTTCACATTCAATTTTGAAAATTCTGTCTTAGGCGGGAAAATTTGGGCTAACCGATCGTCCCACCAGTTGTCCGGACCGGAATAGTAAATTTTTTTAATTTTTTAATTTTTTGCAATTGACACATTATTTTTTATATATTCGAAAAAAATATTTTTTTGATTTTTTAGGAGCTTTAATAGAATTTTGAGTTGTGTTTTGTTATGAGTTGTAAGTTTTTGTATAAAATATCATGTCACATCAAAAATTTCTCATTCAATTCAAAACTCTTTCACCAAACAAATTTTCTACACTCAAATCATAATTTTAAAACTCACAAACTCAAAATACAATTCATACTCTCAAATCATAGTTAGAAAGCTCAACTAAACGCAACCTAAGTATTTCTCAAATAAAGTTTATATAAAATTAGTTATTATAATTAAAACTGAATTTGTGTAGAACTTTATATGTAAATGAAAAATGCATGCTGATATGACTTTTTTAGAAGAAAAAAAGAAGTCTTTAAAATGTGAGGTTTGAGAAATTACAAATTCCCCCCTGAATGCTATATTTGCATAAGAAATTAGGGGGTAATTTGTTATGAAATATAAACCTCAGGGGGTAAATTGTTATGAAAATACAAATCTCAGGGGGCGGGATGTAATTTCCGAAACCTCAGGGGTATCTGTAATTTAACCAAACCTGGAGGGGTGTATATGTAATTTGCCCAATATTTTTTTAAAAAATGTCTTGGGTTATTAGCGGGTTTCATTTTTTAATTTATCGAATATTCTCTTTAATTTTTAAACAATAATATATAGAACACAAGAAAAAAAAAAATCATGACAAGACCGTTATAACGGCAGTTCAACCTTTTACACTGACGCAACGGTTCTGACTTCTGACGCCCCTAACGAGAAATTCTTCCCTCATATAATCATATGGGCTCCAGCTAAGCATATTCGTTCCAATCATGATTTGTCCCAACACCCTGAAAATCTGTACCGTCCACGTACCCACTCCATTATCAAGCCACCAAATACTCTCCCATCCAACGGCCACGATCTCTCGCCTCACCTAATCCTCCTCCGGCTTACACGCACCTACTACAAACCGAGCAAGGATCCTCTTTTTTCCTAAAATTTTCTAGAGTGGTGTATTGTATGGTTGAGATTTAATAATAAATCACATTAATTTTTTAGTATTAAATCTCAACCACACAATACACTACTTTAGAAAATTTTAAGAAAAAAAAAACTTTAGAGGATCCTTGGTGCTACAAACCATTATTCCCAAAACACCCCCACATCATAACGGTTCGTTTGGAAAGTAAGTTGGCTTTTTGAATTTTTGATTTTTTTGACTTTTTTAGCCTGGGACTAAAAATGCCTGATTTGAGAGAGACTTTTGATTTTTTTGACTTTTTTGTGAGATAAATAATGTAATGATTATGGATTAGATGTGATATTTTGTGCTAAAAAGTTTATTTTATTTTTTATGACTAAAATAGCCAAAAAAAGCCCCAAGTTAGGATTCCCAAACGAAGCCTCAACAATTATAAGCTTTGTTGAGATGAGCTAATTTATGTTATGTTTGGGATAATTTTTTTTTTGGCTATTTATAAAACAACATCGTTTGGTAGCTTGAAAGAGACGACGGCTAGAATGGCCCGAGTCAAAAATGACATCATTTTGGAATTTTTTTTCCCTTTTTCCTCTTTGAAGATGAAGAACACAGAGAGAGAGAGAGAGAAAATAGGAAGCTGGGTGTTCATCTTCATCAACATCATCATCAACAAAAATATCTTCATGAACATTATCATCATCATCATCATCAAACACATCATCATCATCAACAATAACATTTTCATCAACATCATCATCACAACATCTTCATCAACAACATTATTATTACTTGTCTTTCTATTATCAAACAGAACTAACAAGATTGAATCAAACAATCCAAGAAGATCCAGTGACACATATAATAAACAAACATAAAATTGGGAATACAAAAATCTAAATTAAAAACTAAAAACCCACATTAAAAGCTGAAGATCCAGCCGTCTTTCTTCATCAACATCATCATCACAACATCTTCATCAACATCGTCATCATCATTATCAACATCCATCGATTTTGTGAAATCCATATCCATCGATTTTGATGAAATCGATCGATTTCAAATCTTGAAAAAAGAAGAAAAAGAAGAAGAAACCCAGTCTCTAGTCTCTCTTTCTTTCCCAATTTCTGGTCTCTCTTTCTTTCTACTCTTCCTCTCTCTTTCTCTTCCTGTGTTTTTAGAGATCTAATAGAAAAAAGAAAAAAAAGAAAAAAAGACTACCTAAAATGACGTCATTTTTGGTAGTCGGGCCATTCGAGTCAACAGTTTCTCGAGTTACGAATCATTTTTGTTTATAAAAAGATAAAATAGATAAAAAAAAGTCAATAAGAAAAAATATCACATTCAAATAATAATTATTTCATTTTTTCTCTCACAAAAGTTGAAAAAGTCAAAAAGTCCATCTTAAACGATATTTTTTAATCCTAGGCTAAAATAGTTAAAAAGTTAAAAAATCAAAAGAACTAATTCACATCCCAAACGAAAGCTTAACCTAATTTTAGTATATTATTTTATTTGAGTAACAATCATTTTATTTAAATCAAATCACTTTTTCAAACTAAACTCATATTTTAAAAAAAATTATAAAAAATTTAAAAATATATTTATTTAGATCCTTCCAAACACTTTCTAAATTCGTTTTGTTTGGATGTGATAATTATAAAAGAAAAACTAAAATAATTATGATTTAGATATGTCATTTTGTTATTTAAAAAGTGTTTGCAATTATCTAAATAAATGTATTTTCTTACTTTTTATGGATAGATATGAAAAAAATAAAAAGATAATGTAACCTAAAAAATAAAAAGAATAAATACACTTTTATAGTGTACCCTAAATACCCTCTTAGCCTATTTTATTTTTTTTTACTTATTTAAGTGAAGAAATAAAAGTAAATAAATAAATTGTTGCCAAACGGCAACATAAAGTCCCGTCTTTTTAGCAAAACAATGGGCACTATCGTCAAGTTTGAATATGCTTGACGCCAGACAGAGTCCATGTATAATTGAGCTTTCTAGTGTATATATCTATACATACACATATTTGAGCTTTCTAGTTTATATATCTATGCATACACATATTTAATGGTGAATCTAATTGCTTCATCACATATATGCATCATTTGAATTGAGCTCTCGAATCGATCGAAGAACAGAGATCGAAGATGTTGGACGGGATTTTAGGGCGTGGATTTAGCTCCAAATGGTTTGTTTGCGCTATCCTTTCTCTCTCTCTCTCTCTCTCTCTCTCTCTCTATATATATATATATATACATGTGTGTGTATTTGTGTGTAGTGATGGTTTTGTTGATTTGTGTTTTGGTGATTCAGTAAATCGTTGATTAAGCCGACGAGGACTCGAATCGATGTGTTACGGAGGAGGAAGGAGGCGACGCAGAGGTTTCTCAAGGGAAATCTCGCTCAACTACTCGCTCAAGGCCTCGATATCAATGCCTATGGAAGAGTAAGCCATCAATTTTCTGATTTCTGTTCGATTACAATTTTTTTTTTTTTGTGTCGATCTGTTTTTTGGAGATTTTTGGAGGCATCCATAATTTTTGAGGCATTTCAATAACCTTATGGAAGATCATCATCCCTTATTAGAGTTTGAATCTTACATATTCATTATTTGGGAATTATGAAGATTCTAAGACAATTTTCCTTAGCTGAGCCTTTCTTGTGTGTGTGTGTGTGTGTGTTTTTTTTCTCTCCCTCAGACTTCGTTTGATTAGAAAGAATTTGATAGAAAATGAAGTGAAAGAAAAGAAATAGAAAAGAACAAGTATTTTCTTGGCGCATTTGATTAACATGAAAATTTTGCAAGAAAAAGACGGAAATTTTTGAAATTTTAGTTATAAATAACTCACTAAATGGGCACATTCACATTTTCAAGTATTTTCTTGTCTAATTTGCAAGAAATTAGAAAGTTTGTTTTATGCTAATATGGATTGTAGAAGAAAATTAATTGACTTTTACTCTCCACCACTTTCATGCTAAACAAACTAACAAAATTATATTTTTTTCTCTTTACTTCACTTTCTATCTTTTCATCCTAAAAAAATGGAGCCTTATGTTTTTCAATTTTACAACCAAACGGATGCTAAGGTCTAGATTAAATTTAAACTAGTTGTCCTGTAAGAAACTTTTTAAATTTGTTCTCTGAGCGCTTTTGAGGCTATATTTCTTTGAATTGGACTTAATTATCTTTGCATTATCCATCTATATGTTTATAGAGACTGGTACATTATGTGAAGTTATTTCAATCAACGCTTTGAGTATCAAGCTATGTAGTTACTTTCCTTTCATTATAATTAAAAAAAATAAAAAAATTGCTTTAATTATTGTCTATAGAGTAAGATATGTACTTCTAAAATTCCAAAGGCACATTGGTCTTTAGAAATTTTTCTTTGATCTTCTGAGGGATGCTTGTCTCTTTTTTCTCAATATTTTGCAATCCTTCATTTTATTTTGATAGTCCATTGCGCTTGGTGCTTGAATTCATAGGAGGCATTGATGGTATTTGTTAGGCAGAAGGCATGCCTTGGAGGGTAGAAGCTTGTATGTTCCTTTGTGACTTTAAAAATCACCTTGCTTTTGAGAATTATATGGTATTTCTTAGTGTTTGTTTGGCAACTTGGTTTTTTTAGTAGCATTTTGGCTTTTTGACTTTTTTATGAGTTGAAAAAAGGTTTTTTTTTTTTAGTTGAATTAGTTGTGTGGAAAAAAGTGATTGGTTGATATGTATGATGTGACATTTTGACTTTTTTTTTAAAGTTTTTTGAACTTTTTTAGCCAAAGAGCTGTGTGCCATACGAGCCCTTAGTAGTTTCCTTTGATACAACTTAAGCAAAGAGCTTGATCACCTAGACGATTCAAGTACATCTTTGGTGCTTCTATGTCTTTAACTCTGATGTTTTTTTTGTTGAGGATTGATGTTGATTTAGGAAGTAAAGTTTCAGGTTTGAAACCAAGCTGAAACTTTGAGCCCTTAGTAGTCTCCACATTCAACTTACTTTGAAATTCAAAGTGAGTTGAATGTGCAGACTTGCACTTACATGTCCACAGCTATAGAGAAGAATCACATGTTCTTTTTCTTCTACTAAATAATAAAGCAATTGGTGGATATCTCTTATACAATGTGTTCTTGTCTTAAAAGCCAAACTCCTGTTTAATACCCTTTACTGCATATAAAAGCCATACACCGAGAATGGGAAAACTAGAGGTTGAGCCATTGAGGTGAATGCTTGATACATCTATTGTCCATCCCAGTGAACTTTTTAACTGATAACATAATGATGATAGATGTGTTACAAGTGTTACTTTATGCCTTGGAAGTTATGATAAGATGGATATCTAGTTCATATTATTGCAGCATTACATTTTCATGTGCCAGAATTCTCATCTTGGCATAGCTTACTCCTTACTCATGGCAGTTAATTTGCATATTTACTAACCACGACTTTTCAGGAAGTTGTTAAACTGCACCTTCTTTTCATAGTATTGATTTCATTTTGTATTTATCTTGCTATGTGGACTTGTTATTTGGTATGAGTGATCTATGATTCTATCTGCCTTGTCTATGATTTTATATTTTACATCTATTCATTCATATTACTATTGAAATGCATGCCAAACATACATCAAGGAATTGTTCTCATCCATTCATTCATATTACTCTTGCTATGACTTTACATGCATGCATAGTATTACTCATGTCCGACTGCTGATTATGAAGATTGGAGCTTGTTTCTTAATTGCCAACCCTGTAATCATGCTGTACTGCCATCTTATCTAACAACTTGAAACCTTTTTCGTGTTAATTGGTTCATTTATTTATTTATATTTGCCAAGCTTGGTTTATTTATTAATTGGATTAAAGCTTAAATTAAGCACCTGAGATTCAATCTTTAGATTTTAAACACTTTGAAACAATCCAGTTAAAGATCAGCTCACTAGTCCAGATACAACGAGAAATTTTTTTGACTTACATTGTGTCCATCTTTGCTATTCATTTTAGACAGCTCTCAGTTTTTATCTATGGCATATTTGGTATTTACTCTTGAAACATGTTCTAATGAAAGTGTTCTTTTGTTCGAGGATGTCAAACAGACTGAAGAATTTCTTGCTGAACTGAACCTCTTGTCATGTTATGATTTTATCGAGCAGTCCTGTGAATACATATTGGAGCAGCTTTCTGTCATGCAAAAACAAAGGTATGGGCTGATAGTTGTGGTCTGATTATAAAATGTACTTTTTTGGTTTTATGTGATGTTATTCATTGGCAGTAAAAATTTTCTGTAATTTTAGTTTATATAGACCCTGTATGTCTATGTTTACTCTGTATGTATTTTGCCTGAAGTTCAACTATAAGTATTTTCCACCAGCAATAATGGGAACAGAATAACTAGGACTTATAAGCAATTTTATTTTTGGTGTTTTTTGGAGTATTCAGAAGAAATGTGGGTGGCATTATAGGGATACATTTCAGTATGTAACTAGATAGTAATATCTTGCACGAGAAACTATGCTTCTTAAGCTAGATGATTTTGTCTTCAAGGGTCATCATTGACTGGAGTTGCAGTCTTTGGATGTTAGATTGAAATCATTTGAGATTATATCAACATTCCTCCCTCCATTGTTTACTATCCAGGGAATGCCCCGAGGAATGCAGGGAGGCCGTGGGATCCCTGATGTTTGCTGCAGCAAGGTATTCTGATTTGCCTGAATTACGCGACCTCAGGGATACATTTCAGGAGAGATATGGAGGTTCTTTGGAACATTTTGTTAATCGAGAGGTGGTTCTTCATAAATGCACTATAAATATAATCAGTATGTTTGGTTTCAGTTTTTTGAAAATTGAGTTATTTGTTTTTCGTATTTTTTTGTTTTTGTGAATATTTTTTAAATTTTAAGCAATTTTTTTACTTTTTTAGATGCACCTTACTTGGATGTAACTAAATAGTAAAATATTTGTGAAAAAATATTTTTAAAAAATTAATAAATACACAAAAATACAAAAAAAAAAATGTACGGAATTTTCTTTTTTCTTTTTGTTGTATTTTTTGGTATTTAGTGTATTTTTTAAAGATTTTTTTCACAAATATTATACTTTTTAAGTGTATTTATGTTAGGTGTGTCTAAAAATAAAAATAAAAATTGCTTAAAATATTAAAAAAATTTATTGAAAACATTAAAATACGGAAAATAAAAAAGTAGAATTTTCTGAAAACAATTCTAAAAACCAGAACCAAACAAACTAAATTAATAGTTTTGTTTCTACATCTAACTACCTTAATGCTTTTGTCAGTTTGTTGAGAAATTGGCTTTGAGGCCTCCATCAATGGAGAAGAAACTCCAGTTGTTGCAAGACATAGCATTAGAGTTTTCAATAAAGTGGGACTCCAGGGGGTTTAAACGGAGGATGGAGAATCCCTCTGCAGTTGCACAGGTATGCTTCTTTTTCTTTTTTCAATTCAGGACTGATGAAATAGAAGGTAACAGTTTTTTCTTTTCTTTTCTTTTCTTTTTTCTTTTTTTAATGTGAGATCATTCTTTTATCATCAATAGGATTGTGTCTGTATTTCTTTCGTCAACTAATTTAAATGGAAATATTTTCAGATGGTTCTTTTTTAAGACCTTATTCAAGCCTAAATTCTTCTGCATCTTCTCTGATATTTTGCAGGACCAACCTAAGAAAAACAGGCCTATCCATGACCATGATGATAAATACAAATTACCTAATGGCAAGGAGACTGTCACAAAGATAGATAAACGGAATCATTCATCTAAAGATAGGATTGAGCTTACTGATGACCGGCAAAGAGTTCACAATGGTGGGGAGGAGAATGTGTTGAAAAGAGATGAGTTGTATAGTCTGTTCTTCACAAGAGAGGAATTAACTGGTAATAGTCACAAGCCACTTGTGGGTACGAAACAAACTATCCCAAAAAGAGACAACTACGACATCCCCTTCCAAGGAAGACAGGAATTCACTGGTGACAGGCATGAATCAGTGAATGGGAAGGACGATAAAGCCCTAAAAACAGTTAAACCTGGCCTTTCATCTCACGGAAGAAGGCCAGAATTTGTCGATGGTGGATATGAGGTGCATAATGATAGGATGAATAGTGTACCTAAAAGAGATGGAAAACCAGAAGTTGCTGCTAGAGTTGATGCAGTCCCAAGAAGGCGTGAAGGTAAAAATGTCTCATCAGCTGGTTATAGCGATAATTGTCAACCAAACACTCCAAATTCAACAAGCAAAGTTCAGGAGGAAGAAACAGATAGGTCGAAGCCCTACTCAAGTAATACTCCCCGTCCACCATACATTAAATCGAAAGATAAACTCATTCCTCCACCTTATGTCAAATCAAAAGATAGCAAGCACAGAGCGAATGAAAAATCTAGGCATGTCAGTTCTGACAACGAGGGAACCTCCACAGACCCTTCAATTCATAGGAGAGACAATGCAGAGCGTAGGTCGGAGACAATCCACAGAGAATCAGATCATCCAAACTATGACGACCACGTTGTTAGACATGCGCGAGCGAGTAGTCATGATCATGATAAAGATGTACCTTATCGGGATGGTATACCTCTGCCAAAACCAAGATCAGTTCGGAGGAAACACTCAAAATCGTCCAGTCGTGATGATCTTGGTAATTATGAAGATGCTGGTGTTGAAAAGAGAAGTTCTAGTAGCAGGAGAAGGGAGAATTCAAGAAGGGGCTTGCAAATTGATGACGAGCTTTATCAGCAGATGGATGAAGAGGAAAGGATGATAGATAAACTACTGAGGCATTACAGTAAGAAACCGTCGTCGTATGATCCAGAAAAGGTACGGAGAAAGTCTAAAGCTCATGCTTCACATCAGATAAGTGCCGATGATGGGCCTGATGTGCCCACCAGATCTGTTTCTCTCCCTCGTGTGCAAACTGGTCCAACCGAGGCAGTAAAAGTTTATACTCGTGCCAATTCTTTTCAGCCAGATAAGCCAGCCCAGCATGTGCATCCCAAGTTACCAGACTATGATGATTTGGCTGCCCGAATTGCAGCCCTCAGGGGGCTGTGAATGGTAAAAGCAACAGAATTTGGAATTTGCTTGGTTCATTTACATCCTTGCTTCCGCACAAGGCTATGCTCAAAACCACCGAGCACAAAGTAACCCATTTGTGGTTGAAGACCCACCGATAGGTGTACAATGCGGTAATCAAAGCATAGCCCTGCATTGTTCACTTTGATTTCAGTTTGTGCACTGCTTGATTGTAATGTTTGTAACTAACATGCATGAATCTTTAAGTGATACTAATTCCTCAAATTGTTAGATGAGATTGAGATTGAGATTGAGATTGAGATTGAAATTGCTGCTATCCTACTTTTTGTTTTCATTTAGTCATAGTTATTAGTCACTGTTTTTATATGCTTGTGGCAACAGAGTTTGTTGAACTAATGCTTTACTGGCAATAAAGCAACAGGACATGAAGACAAAACTACAAAGGAGGCCGGTTCTTCTGTTTGGAATCTCTCCTGTCCCTTGTCACCACACGGTGATTCTCTCCGGTCTAATCGTGTGGTGTAGAAAAGCATGTGATTCTCTCTGATTTGATCATGTGATATCGAAGAGCTTTGAAACATGGATACAAGAGAGATTCAGACACAGAATTCCTTACCAAAAAAAAGGTATGTTGACTGTTGCATTGCATCACTTAACAACCTTTGTTTCTGGTCTTTGTTTATAGGTGGGGTTAGTGGTCTTTGTTTATAGGTGGGGTTAGTGGATCGAGGTGTTATTGTCAGTTTCACAAGCAGAGACTAACGTTTATACAAAATGACGAATCTGCCCTCAAATGTCAGGGTAGAAAGTGAGAGAGAAAAAAAAAAAAGGTTTTTTTACTCAACCAATTCCATCCCAAGATGCTCTAACCTGTGTCAAGGTGAAGAGGACTCTTTCCCGCCAAAAAAAGCCTCTCGCTTACATTTATTACAGTGCCTAGTTTTTTTCACTCACACAATAGAGAGAGAGAGAGAGATGAAGGGTACGTCCAAAGTGATAATGGGGGCAACCCTGGCAATGGTGGTGATCCTTGCCATAGTATTAGGCTTGGTCTTGGTGCTGTTAGCTGAGCTCTACTGCTCTCTCCTCCTCCGCCGGAAAAAACAGCCAAGGACCACCACCACCATCACCACCACTAACATGGTGGCAAATGATTCCTCTCAATCTCATCACCTGCAAAACCAATCAGCTTCTCCCCAACCTCTAAGAAGCTTTTACGCGCACGGTGTACTCCATGCTCCACGAAGCTTCCTCTTCCCTGCAGTCCACGGCAAAGAAGACAAGGTGGTGGACATAGAGAAGCAACACTCTCAACTCCATCGATTCTTTGAATCCGAAACCGAAGAACTCAACACCACTCCTCATCGAATCGGCGTCATGATGTCTACTTCACCACCCTCCACTTCCTTCAGATCAGTAAGTTCACCTAAACCAATTGAAAAGGTTACACTCCAAAGTGATGGTAGTACTAGTGGATGCAATGGTGGCAGCGGCTGTGGAGGTGAGCATGTTGTGTACATATCCAATCCAATTTACGACAACGATGTTAGTGGGCCAAATGGGGTAGATACCCCATTTGAAACACCAGATACATCGCCATCCCGTTTAGAAACGGGTGGCTCTTCTGGGGAAGACAGTATGAGCCAGTCTATACAGTCTTCCCCATCTAGTCCATCACCTCCAAATACACCACCCTTGATGCCGATGAAGAAACTTCCAGCGGAGGCGTGTTCAATTTCGTTGAGAGATGCCCGGTCTCTACCCATTTCAGGTAGTGATTCTAATAGCAACAATGGTCTCTCTTCATCGTCTTCCGGGTCTCCATGTACTTCACCTTCATGGTGAATTTCTTTGTTCATGTCAGTGTTAAGAGCTTTTTTTTTTTGGTTGGATTTTTTGTGGACTTTGTGAGTTTGTTATGTTGTGAATGAATATAGTACTAAAAAGATGCAAAAGTGGGCAGGTTGTTTAGAAAACAGTAGGGTCTTTTGAAGAGAAAACAGTAGGGTCTTTTGACCTTTTTCACTTCCAGGCATGACCATGGCTCGTTAAACCAAGCCACGACCCATCCCAACCCCAAGTACTCTTCTATAAAAGCCTGTCTGTTTGTCTGCTGCCTCTCTCTCTCTCTCTCTCTCTCTCTCTCTCTCTCTCTCTCTCTCTATACATATATATATATATATATATCCATAACATTTTTATTTTTATTTTATTTTTTGTTAATTACATTAAGATTTCATCAACTATATACGAATATTATTTTTTGATACTCATCTATAAATCTGTATATTTTGACTTCTTCCATTATAAAAATTATGCAAATACTTTATTTTGGAGAAGAGGGTAGGAGGGAGTAAAAATGATACATTTTTATAGTTAATAATCAAAATGTATGAGTTCATAAATAAGGAGTACGATAATATTTGTAAATAATTGAGGAGGGTCATTCAACTCACATTCTTCATTCATCAAATTATCAAAAGATTTAGATATAAAATTACAAGTGCTTCGTATTTTCACTCAGAGTTAGAATATATATACACATTCCATTGCAGAAGGATACTGCCATTTTTTGTTTCTATTTGGTTGTGTGGGTGTTTTTGGAGAGGGCATTCTTTGGCCTTCTTTTTAACTCTGTGTGTGTGTTGGGATTGTGAAGATGCATGTGATGGGGGTTAGTAGACCAAGGAAGGGTTGAGTTAAAAAAAAATCTCTGTTTTTGATGGACCTCGTGTGCTGATTTGATTTCAATGCATGTTGAAGCCAAGCAATACAAATACTATAAATCTGTGAGTCTTTGTCCACTTAGATAGCGACAATTCCTGTTTGGTTTCTGGACACAAAAGCCCTTTAAGAACAAATCTAGTGGTGTTTGAGAAGTGAATTTTTGTATAGGTTTTTTTAGTTATAGGATATTATTGGAGAAAATTTTTTTTGTGTTTGGGAAGATAGTTGGGTTTTTTGTGGTTGGATATGATATTTGTGAGAGAAAAAATGAAATGATTATGAGGTTTGATGTGATATTTTGTTTGGATTTATTTTTTTTGGTTTTGCAAAACTTTGTCTTTTAGTGAAAAAAAATAAAAAAAAAATCCAAAAAAATTGTTGCCAAACACCGCCCTATTGGGAGAAGTTATTTGGTAATACTAAGATATGGTTACATGGTGTTTCAAGTGTATTGTGACGTTCCAAGTGTGTTGTGATTGTGGAGGGAGTAGGGTTCATAATTTTGTATTGGATTGTGAAGAAAACCAAGGGTATAGTACACCTAGTACTGGGTTACCAAATAATTATCCCTCTAATGGACCTAATACTGATTTGTCATTTTGGTTTAATTATTTAATAATTTCAAAATATTATAGTGACATGCACGTGTTACATCTGATTAATGAAATCGCACACACACACCTTAAAAAAAATATATGAATAGGGACAATTTTATCTCATTTCTACTCATTTTATTATTACTCTTATTGATTCGAAAGTGTCTCTAATGGTCTGGTATTTTTTTTTTTAAAAGAAAATTAACACGATAAAAGTATGCTTCATGCATGTTACAAGTTGCTTCACTAATGTGTAGTATTTATTATGCTAAAATAGCACAAAGATTCCAATAATGGGAAGTGAGGGTTCGGTGCATTTTTGTGTGCACCAATTTTGAGTCCCTAGCAAAGTTCATTGTCGAATCTTTTGATAAATTTTGATAATGACAACTCAAATAATGGAGTTCGGGGAAAAGAAAAGAAAAAAAAAAACAATTTGTGCAATGACACTATATAAGCCTCCAATATTTGGGTCAATTGCTCATTCTTTTGTGTTGAAGCCCAATCTTGATCTCATGTAACTAATTGATTTGCTCTATTATGTTTAGTGGTTTTTTAAGCTTGATTTTGTTCTCCATTGTTCTTAATTTCTCAAGGGTGTATGCTCTTTATGAAAAATGGTGTGTACCCAAATGTACTGATGTGGGGAAATTTCTTCATTCATTGTTTAGTACCTTTGGTTTGTTCCATCTTGCTAGAATAGTTATTGGCCGCTCCTGTACTCATTAATGTACAAATACCAAATCAATTACAATATTAGACATTGTGATAGTGTTGTGTCCCAGCCTGTGATCATTTTTGTATTCGACTTTTTCATCTTTGGAGGTGGGGTCAAGTTTACCACCACCATCACAAACTGACATGTTCTTCAAATTTTTATTTTTATTTTTTTCAGCCCAAAATAATGTCATTTTGGAATGTTACGGTTAAGATTATACCTAAACTGTTGGATCATCTCTTTAATAACATGCCCTGCTGTGATTAAAAGTATAGTAAAATCATAGCAGAGACTTGCACAGCAAAGAATCAAAATCTGTTTCATAGTTAATTTTGAAATTTTGAAATTAGGATAAATTACACTAATCTCCCTTCAAGATTGAAAATAAATAAATAAATAAATACAGTACACTCAATCCTCTTTTCATCAAAAAATCATTAATTGTACAAATGAAAAAATGATATCATCTTTGTGTTTTCATACCATCTGCATTAGTTTCGGTCTCTTTAACCTTACTAAAAGAAAAGTCAACGTAATTATATCAAAACTGTGGGATTTGCTATATTTTCTTCAAACCACAATAGAGGTCAGTGTAATTTACCCTTTAAATTAAGATTGAGGTTGGCTTGTCTATCTCATGGATGAGATTGACTAGTTTGTTCTTGAGTGAATCTTAATGAGGGTTCAAGGTGTTTCATCTTATTATCAAGTTGAGCTCAAAGAATTATTAAGCGTCAAAATAAAATAATATTTCAACTCATCATTCTCATCAACCAGTCTTTAAGTATATGCACCATGATCATGCCTTTACTCAACAATTGATTTTCATTTTGAGTTCCATTTTCATTTCCTTCACATAACTAAGCATGTAAAATAATTCAATTGTCACAAAGCTATTTCAAGATACAACATACATGCAACAAATATTCGGTAAGACACCGCTCCTACAAAGTGTTGCATGTTTTCAACTTGGATCAGCAAAAAATGAATTTCAAAAGTTCCCGGATTACCTATTAAAAGAGGAAACGGTTGGCATGAGAATTTTGTAACATAGATTTTCAATTCTGAGATATAATTTTCATTTCACCACAGCAAGAGATGAACTTTCAGATAAAAGGTGAGGGATTAAAATGAGGAAAATCACTCACAGTTGTTCTCTTGACCGAGTTCAGGTATCAGCTGGAGCAACAAAATGCCCTTCTTCCCGCTTCTTGTGATCTATTATGCAGTTTCATTCCTGCCGGCCTTGAAGGGGAAGCTTTTGCCAATCTCTTTGCTGCAAGAATTACTAAATATAAGCACATAACATAAACCCTACAGACCAACCATAAACTTGACCCATGAAGACGATTGCCACACCAACACATTCAACACATGGAAACAACAGTATTAACAATGTTACATGGACACGGATACGGATGCAGTTGTCGATGCAAATTTAGATGTCAGAGCAATCAAAGGGTATGCTGACTTAGCAGAAAAGGTTCATATATTCATATTTTTAATTTATTTTGTAGGATAAAATGGTGTTTTATGAAAGATAAGAACATTAAAAAAAAGGACATTTTACTCATTTTATAGCAATTAAGCAACAAAATATATCTATAATGACAGTTTTGAACACAATTATGTAAGAAGTGTTTGATGGAAAGTATTGAACACATATGGCACACTTTTATTCAAGTGTCAAGTGTTTGACATGAGGCATTTGATTTATTTTGAACAGTCCATGTAACATAGAGTAATAAAAAACCATAACCATCCATCCTATAACCACTTCATTTATTAATTCAAAATAATGTAAAACATCTTCTTTGACTAATTTGCTGGTTGATAAGCAGTAGTACCAAATATAAATCCATGTGTATGTGTGGAGAGAGAGAGAGAGAGAGAACACTCCTCATATCAGTCAACCAACTCATCAGTCATAAAGAGATTTTGCAATGCATTTTCTATTTCATAAAGAGACTAAACATACCCTTAACGCCAAATGATAAGAGATATAATCACCTATTTCATAAAAAAGCTCATTGACATTTTGTGCAGTTTTTGCATAAGTCTCAAAGAAAAGCAATCCATTTTCTTTAGCATATTGCTCCCCTACCTGCAACATTAAGTATTTCAACAGGTGTCTACAGTAACCTAGCAAAAGTATCAACGTAAACATCATATCATGTATTTAAAAAAAAAAAAAAAATTGTTATTGATTATCCCAGAGTTCTGTATGGTATCGAGCATTCATAGTTTCTGCACCTTCTGGTTTGCATTTCCTTTCACATCCATTTGTTGTTCTCATTTCATTTCCTTCTTCTTGTGGCTGTGAACACAATTATGTAAGAAGTGTTTGATGGAAAGTATTGAACACATATGGCACACTTTTATTCAAGTGTCAAGTGTTTGACATGAGGCATTTGATTTATTTTGAACAGTCCATGTAACATAGAGTAATAAAAAACCATAACCATCCATCCTATAACCACTTCATTTATTAATTCAAAATAATGTAAAAAGATCTTCTTTGACTAATTTGTTGGTTGATAAGCAGTAGTACCAAATATAAATCCATGTGTATGTGTGGAGAGAGAGAGAGAGAGAGAGAACACTCCTCATATCAGTCAACCAACTCATCAGTCATAAAGAGATTTTGCAATGCATTTTCTATTTCATAAAGAGACTAAACATACCCTTAACGCCAAATGATAAGAGATATAATCACCTATTTCATAAAAAAGCTCATTGACATTTTGTGCAGTTTTTGCAGAAGTCTCAAAGAAAAGCAATCCATTTTCTTTAGCATATTGCTCCCCTACCTGCAACATTAAGTATTTCAACAGGTGTCTTCAGTAACCTAGCAAAAGTATCAACGTAAACATCATATCATGTATTTAAAAAAAAAAAAAAATTGTTATTGATTATCCCAGAGTTCTGTATGGTATCTGAGCATTCATAGTTTCTGCACCTTCTGGTTTGCATTTCCTTTCACATCCATTTGTTGTTCTCATTTCCTTCTTCTTGTGGCTGCTTCCACTGTATTTGCTACTTCTAACTCTCTTATCTTCGCCACACTCTTCAAAATACCAAGAAAGGTTATAGCTCTCTTGGTTAATTTTCAATGGCAATCAAAGGCTTTAGTTTATTTGGATGCTATGACGTCCCTATGCATTTGCAGCTATGAACATCTCCTCTGATCAACAGTGGTTTCCAAATATGGGTGCCTCAAAACACACAACTTAAGAGATAAAATCCCTCTATTCTCACACAAACTACTCTGGAAAATGACACCATTCATGTTGAAAATAATAACCATCTTCCCTTTTTTCTCACGTTGGTCATACTTCTCTTCAAACTCACCACTCCTCACTTCTTCTTAAAAACATTTTGCATGTTGCTGATATTATAAAGAACTAGGTTTTTGTTGCTCAACTGACTCATTATGTGATGGAAAAAAGATAAAAAGATAAAAAGATGGATTATATAGTAGATGACAAACAAGGCTTTATTTTTGCTTCCTCCAGCTTTGTGATAAACGGACTGTAAAGCAGGGAAAGTTATGTTCTCCAGACAAAGGGAGGGTTTTTCCCCATCACCACCAGTTTTTTCTCCTGGCACTTTTCTTTCATCTCCTAAAGCCTTCTCCGGCGTTCACACATGTTGCACAAACATTGATATTAGGTATATTAGCCTTGATCATCCACCACACCAAGTTATTCTCCTAAAGCTTTCTTACTCAATGAAAAAGACCAAATTACTTGGGTAAGAGGACCTCGGGAGTAGAAGAAAGTGAAGAAAAATTATGGTTCGGTACTGTTTGCCAAAAGCACAAAGCAAGAGAAAGGCCCAAAAAAACTTTTGTATGAAAGGATATGATTGCCTTGAATTTAATCAAGGATATGGATTCACAAAGAGCTAACTGGAGAAGACAAATCCATATCGCCAAATGCAAAATATAGTTGGGTTGATGTCCCTTTTGAGTAAATTGAAACAAAGAAAAATCAAAGAAAATACGATGACGATGTCACTAACAAAGATTACACTTTTAGTTTGTCTAAATTATTAGAATTTTGTTAAGGATTGTGACCATAAAAAAGAGGCCAAAATGCTTTTAAAAGTCAAGCTTGCAATTGCATTCCACACTTTTTTTTTCTGATTACAAATGGCACTCCACTTTCCATGTGCCCATCACCGATCGAAAGTCACTCCTAAAATAAAATTCCTCTGCAGAGCAAATTATTGCTTCCAGGTATTATTGGCAATTGCTTAGGCATCTTCAATGCCAAGGGCCATCTAATATGAGTTCCCTCCCTAATTCCAAGGTGCTTATGGAAAATGACTTGACCATACAAATATTTATTATAAATAGTCATGAATTAAAATCTAAAGATGGACAAAGCCAACAAGATTTGGTTGAATACCTCATTCTCCACTAGTCTTTTTGTTGCCAAGTCAGCCTTATTTGCCACCAAAACTGTAACCAAGTTTGGATTTTCTACAACAGCAATGCACAATTTGTCATTAAATGCTACATAAGCACCAAGTTTACTCGGATAGTGAGTCAGATGCTTAATGTCCTACTAATGTTCAGAAAGATGAAATTGCATGCCACAATAGGGATAGAAATTTCAACTAACGCATAAATGCCAGACCTAGAACTACAACAGTGCAAGTTCAGGGGTATAGGAAAGGAAATTGTCATGGCCTCTCTCAAAATTTTGAAACACCCATGATCTTTCAAATCCCAAGGAAAAAAAAGAAGAAGATGCAAGTTGGCCCCCCTCACCAATCCCATGAAAGATTGGCTCTTCTATTGTGAATCATGATTTAGAGAAGTCTATGTAAAGCGACTAAGAAGATCTTGCAAGATAAGTTTAAACAGGATGAATTATCCAGTTGATGCATAATTAGACTTTGAAACATTCTTACAAGTTTTCTCACAACCCAAAGGACTTCATTTATAAAAATTGGATCCATTGAATGATGGATTGTAGCTTCTATGTCGACATAGAATAGTAAACAACATATGATTTAACTTATAAGAAGTTGGAAATGTCCTGGGGCAGTTTAGTTTCACTAATCCTATCAAGAAAAACTAAATATAAATGTTTTCCTTGGAAGCATCTGGTGCTATTTCAAATCAAAAGAATCATGGCAAACACCTTTGGTTATTGAGTCAAGAAGAGAACTATCAAAGCTGATTTAACAGATTTAATTTAAGTAAATCACCTTGTCTTTGCAGCTCTTGAACCCACTTTTTAGCTCGTTCAAATGAATCCTACAACCAAAGAACCATGTGCTTTACTGTCAGTTGATTCTCTCAAACTTGTGCATGAATAACAAAGATGAAGGGGCAAGTGGCTTGTCATGATGACAAAAATGAAAAACAGATATTCTCTTAATGGCTGCACTGAAGTTTGCTAGTGACATGGAATGGAAGGTCTAACAGCACAGCATTCAGATGATCAAGTACAACACCAGAAATCATCATATGGCCAAATAAGAGGCATTATCTAACACAATCTTATAATAATAAACTGGATTTGAAATTACATCAATCAAAGAAACATCAGGTTACTTGAGCAGAAGCATGATCCAGATTGTGCATGCACATGCACACACGGTTAGTTAAAAACTCAAAAAGACAGAAGCCAAATCCTAAGATGGTTGGTCTGCTATTCAAATTCACAGAAAGACACATTTTGATGAGCTTAGATTTATTGTATGGAATACATCTTACTCTTTGGATTGTATACAAACATAAAGATTTAAAAGCAACTGAAAAATAAAATTATTAGAACTTTGTCAAATAGCTAACCATGCTCGTGATGTCATACACCACAACAGCTGCAGCTGCACCACGGTAGTACATTGGAGCTAAGCTATAGTACCGTTCTTGTCCTGCTGTGTCCCATATATCAAACTTTATTGTAGCTTCATTTAATGACAAAACTTGAGTGAAGAATGCGGCTCCAATCGTTGATTCCTGCAGATTATACTCATACCAAAGATCCTATTCTGTAAGAAAGTAGAGAAAGAAATATAGAAATATATTGACACAGAAAGAACAAATAAGAGATAAAAATTAGACTGAACCTGGTAATCATAAAATTGGCCTTTCACAAATCTTAATACCAAACTGGTTTTGCCCGTTCCCATGTCCCCAAGTAATACCTGGGAAAGGCTCAATAATATAATATTCAAGTACAAGAGCTGTGAATTTGTCCCATTAATCATATTCAAAAGTAAGCCAATGTTTTTGTGATAAATCCTGGGAAAGAATTTTTCAAAGGAAAATCCGGTGCCACTTGTTCTATAAGACTGGTTTATGGACAAGTGACATAAGTTCCTACTTCCACTATTGTTTTGACTTCGAAAACACTTGCCAAACAGTTCTAAAAGGCTCAAGTAAGTGGATATGTTATTGTCAGTTACCAGCAACGAAAAAGTTTCAATTTTTCATTTTAATTTTTTTACTACCTTCTGTCATGAATCAGTTCTCATGAAGTCTAAGGTTCACCTAAAAGGTGATGAACATTAAAAATCTATCTCCACGTTGTTGTAAATAGTCTTTTTGATGAAACTCATCGCACCCCATAGTGTGAAAACTTGCCTGGAATTTGGAACAACAAAAGGCAGGCCGTAGATGGAATTGTAAGATCCAATCAAATCAATTAGTAGCTCTTTGCTTTTCTTCTTTAATCAGGTTTCACCCTTCTACAATGTGCTTTCTTTAGTATTCTAATAAAATTTTCCCTAAAAGAAATGAGCTCAATATACTTAAGCAGGGTTTGTCTAAAAACTTTTCTTACAGTTTCTAATCCTTCTCACCAAACCCCTCAATCCAAACGGGCTGTTACTCTTCTTCCCATTATAGTCTAACAGATACAAAGATACAAATAATAAAATCATTGATATATAAAACAGCATAACATTATTGAAAACGGTCTCTTTATCTTTGGCTCTTAGCATGATGTATTGTGAAGTGATAACAAAAATTATATAATTCACATAGGTCTATTTGATTGGGCGGATTATAACATAGGATGGGAATTATTAGTCCATGGAACTTACATTTCAGTGTTTGGTTGCAATTTTTGTTATCCGGATTATATTCTGATGGACATTCTACCAAACAAATTTGGCGGATTTTTTAATCCTACAACTAATAATGCAAAAAAAGAGGAAAAAGGGAGATTATTTATCCCACTAATCCAACCGGATAACCAATCTTACACTAATCTCATGATTATTAATCCGTTCTGCTAATCAAACAAGACCATAACTTAAGGTTCTAATAATGGCATAGTAATATGTGATTATTGTGCTATGTAGTTGACATTGAAATCTTATCAAAACACTGCCTAGCTCAACAATATTTTCTTCTTCTTCTTCTTTTTTTTTTTTTTTTTTTTTTTTTTTTTTTTTATTATCAACCCTAGTACTAAACACCATAGTTGAATTGCAATGAAAAGAACATGAAAGCATTGATTTTAGAGTAAATAGTGAACTAAAAGGAAAGACATACCCACCAGCTTGGCTTGTATGTTCTTGTTTCCAGTCTTCGCCATTCTATTAATTCCAGGAATTTCAGAGAATGAAAGAGATTTGTACTTGAAAACGAAACATCAATTTATGTATGTATCTGCATCTGTATATGTGTTATGAGAAGAATGAATGTTAGGTTTTTTTGGTTTGACTGGTAAGTCGGTTTTGCTTCTATAACTGACAAAAGTTTTTTTTTTTTTTTTTTCAAATTATTTAAGAAAAATCCTATGAACTTACCTTTAGGAACTTACAATTTATCAGTTTGTGTGATAAAAATTAAATTGATAAAATATATGATCTATGAATAAAATAAATTTAAATTATTAAATTTTTTTTTATTAATAAATTATAAGTTAATAAGGGTGAACTTGTAGTATTGTTGATTATTTAAATAATCATTAAAAAAAAAAAAGTGATTAGCAACAACTAATTTTCAAATTTTGAGCTTGTTTTGAATTCAACGAGCAAATAATATAAGGGGAGATATCACTTTAGAGTATACTTTAAAAGCTATTTTAAATTAAAGTGGTGTTCATTATAAACTTTAATATGTTAAAATCATATACTTTTTATGATTTTTTAATTTATTTTTCAAAATACAATAATATAAAAAGACTAGATGATGATGTCCAGGCCTGTGAGATTCATCACGAGTTTCACTGTGTTAGTCCTTCGTGTATATCATCCGCACGCAAAATTAAGTCAATCCAATAATCGTAACACATTCAATTTATTGCGTTTGTCACAAAAATAAAAATAGATAGTCTATTTTTAAAAACATACTTTTTGTTCTTTTTTTTAGACACAAATGAGATAAATTGAATATGTTATAATATCGATCAATCTAATTTCTTTTTTTAATTTATATAAATGATATATATAAAAACTTTATAAAATAAACATTTCAAATCATCAAAATTGCACCTATAACAGACCTCATAGGCCCAGATGGCCCCTTCCACTGTACTAGTGAGCATCCAACTCCAATATAAAAGCAAGTAATGCTAGATACCAAAAACTCAAATACATAAAAATAATATTAAAAAAAAAAAAAACAAAACAACATGGTTCCATTCATTCTAAAGCCATATTTGTTTGTTTGAATTAAAAATGTATTTATTTTGAAATAATGCCACGCGATTAACAATACACTAATCCCCTTAATCCTATGGAATTCTAGGTAAAAATATTATTACATCCCCACTTTATAAATATAACAAAGTTATTTTTTATATATTGAGAACTTTTTGGTAAATTTATAAATTTAATCTTAACCAATAAATACTACAATACTACTATACAAATTAAAAAATACAATTTATGTTAAATTTCTATCCAAATATCACCACATGAATAATTCTTTTATTTCAGTGCTAGTAATTTCATCTAATCTAACTTGGCAAACAAACAAAGGCTAAGTGTAAGCCACGCACTACAATAATTGAATCTAGATTGCAAGTTACATTTTTTTGGTAATTTTGTGTGTACGAATTCTTTGATTCTAGCATTACTGCTATGAAAATCTATTAGAAAAATAGTTTTGTTTCATGAGTTTCTTTTGTAAACTTTGACGACATTTTTAAATGTTTCCGCACATCTATCTATATGATCCAAGTGGTGTTGTATTTACCTTCTTGTGGTCATGTACTAATGTACTTAATTAGGGTTATTTAGAATGACCTAAATAAGTGCACTTCTTATCTTTTTATGAAAAGATGTACAAAAAGTAGAGAGATGATATAATGAAAAAAGATAAAAAAAATAAAAAGATAGATTATTTGGTAATTGTCAAACTTGGCCTTAGTCAAAGTTATTAATATGTAAATCAGAAAAATGATATAAAAAATGTACCAATTGAATATAGAATTTTGTTTCTCTCCATTTAGCATTTTAGCTTGAGAGAACGTAAACTTGATAAATTTATTTTGGGATTGATTTTAGTAATTTGAACTGTAATATAATATTTATACAAAAAAATCAAGATGATTGAAATTTGGTACTTATAGGTTTGAATTATATTTGTTTGAAAAAAAAAATGGACGACAAATATAATTTTTAAAATAGTTACCTATTTTTTGTAATACAAATTTGATTCAAACATATAACTACCGTTGCTCGATCATCTTATTTTTTGGATGACTATTCTACTTAACGAGTCCTAGAGAGTAAATAGTTCAGATCATAAAAATTGGTCCTAAAATGGGCCTACGAAATCCAAATGTTTTCTCAATTAAAATAGGCCTACTAAATCCAAATGTTCTCTTAAGTTAAGATGACCAACTTGAGATAAGTCAAACCTTTTGGTTTTGTTTTTTTGAAAATAGTTTTCAGAAAATTCTATTTTCTTATTTTTCGTATTTTTTTGTTTTTAATGAATTTTTTTAATATTTTAAGAAATTTTTTTAATTTTTAGATATACCTAACATAAATATACCTAAAAAGTAAAAAATTTGTGAAAAAAACCTTTTAAAAATTCACTAAATACCAAAAATACAAAAAAAAAAAATATAAGAATTCAGTACATTTTTATGTATTTCATAATTTTTTAAAATATTTTTTCACAAATTTTTACTTTTTAGATACATCTAAGTAAGGTGCATCTAAAAAACTAAAAAAAATATTTAAAATTTTAAAAATATTCACTAAAAACAAAAATTTCATAACATGTTTTTTAATTTTTTTTTTCAGCAATATTCTAGACATTCCGGTGAGTCTCCGACGACTGTTAAACGAAAGTCCGACGGTAGTAAGATGTGAACAGTAAAAAAGGATTTTTTGGTAACAATTAAAAATGTGTTGGACTAATTGGTGCAAGTATTTTGTTTTGGGATTAGTTGGGTTTTGAACTTGTTACATGGGACTTATCAGTAAGTTCCCCATGTTCTATTAAGTTAAGATGACCAACTTGAAATAAGTCAAACCTTTTGGTTTCGTTTTTCTGAAAACAGTTTTCAGAAAATTCTACTTTCTTATTTTCCGTATTGTTTTGTTTTTAGTGAATTTTTTTTAATATTTTAAGCAATTTTTTTAATTTTTAGATATACCTAACATAAATATATCTAAAAGGTAAAAAATTTGTGAAAAAAACCTTTCAAAAATTCACTAAAATACCAAAAATACAAAAGTTCAGTACATTTTTTGTATTTTTATGTATTTCATAATTTTTTAAAATATTTTTTCACAAATTTTTTACCTTTTAGATACATTTAAGTAAAGTGCATCTAAAAAACTAAAAAAAATATTTAAAATTTTAAAAATATTCACTAAAAACAAAAAAATACGAAAAACAAAAAACTCAATTTTCAAAAAATTTAATCCAGAAAACTCAAACCAAACACACTGAATAGTTTTTTCTCCAAGATTATAGGATGTTACCGTGTTAGCTTTTGTTAGTAAAATTAGATTACAACTAAAGGAATCGTCCTTACTCATTCAGTTTAAACCCTGATCTTCCCCTCACCACACCCTAAGGTGTGGTTAGATTTATATTAAAGTTGTATTTAGATCATAAATTTATATTAAAATTTAGATAGAGAATTTGATCTAAACACATTTTTCAAATTGGGTCACAAGATGCGCTCAAAATTTTATAAAGAGGAGAGACCTAATTCAACGTAGCCTTAGAGCAAGACCCACAAAATGAAATATGGAAGATTATAATTTCCCTTATGATTATCCTTTGTACTCTATTTCAATATCAAATTCACTCTTCTTTGATCATATTATATTTAGTTCAATCAATAAAAACATTACTTTAAAAAATTAAAGAGTGAAACAAACATTAGAGAGTAGACACGTCTAGTTTTCATTAATTCAGAGCGGGTGAAATACAAAAAGTAAAAAATTGTTAAAAAATTAATAGATTTTATTTTTTGAAGTTATAACTAATACTTACTAAAACATTTATCACAATTCAACTTATCAGCTATTTAAACTCTTGTTCTGTAATGTGATCTTGGCGTTTTTTGGTGAGAGCAAGCATGACACGTTGCCAACTTACAAAGCAAAGTCCAGGATTGTAAAAGACTCAAAGATCACTCCAAGTTTTCCCACGGATCTGAATGCTTATTCTTGTGCACACTATTTTGTCATTATTGTTTTGTTTGTTTGTGTGTTTGGATGATGTGAGGATAGCAATGGCTTTCCTGTGTTACAAGTGGGTTCAATCCTACAATAATAATAACGCCCATTTTGTCTTTTTACGCAAGAAAAATAGAGCAAAGGATGATTCATCAACCAACAAAAAATATATTTTTTTATATTTTTCAATTTTTTTTTCTTAAAAAAGAAAATTTTATATAAAAATAATCAATACTTTTATTCTTTCTATTTTTGTCACCAAACTAGTTTTTTAAAATTTTTCAAAAAATAAAATTTTAAAATTCAACCAATATTTGCAACCTATATATATACATATATTTGTCAATTGGTAGAGAATATTTACATATATTGAGAGAATTGCATTAAACTAGATAATCAATTACTAAGAAAGCCCAACAAAATATACACTCAAATCCAATATCAACAACTATTACAAGAAATAGTTCATAACAAGGAAGAATTAATGATAAATTTACTAATAAGAACTAAATCTATTCTTATGTAATACTTTCGTGTAACTATATTGTTTTGTTATTGAAAGATAGATGATGATCCACTTAGCCTTGGTTTGGTAAATACATTGGGACTAAATAAACATATAAGGACAAAAAAAAGAGTCACAAAATGACAAAATGACAAAACACTTGACTTTTGATGTAAAATTACCAAATTAACTCATATACAAACAAAAAGTCAAAAAAATATTATTTCCAAGTGGAGGGCAATTTTGTCATTCCAATGCAAAAAAGCCAAACAAGAAAACCGAACAAACAAAAAAGTCTCAGACTAAAAAAACCAAAAAAATAAAAAAACTAAGTTTGTCAAACGACACCTTAATGTGTATTACAATTTTTTATTTGTCAAAAATATTACATAGACAGTTCACACATAATACTCTACAATATTTAATAATTTTGCCATGGGAAGTACTCAAAGAAAAATTATTAAATGCTCTCAAAGTATCAAGTGACAATGTTGTACATGGTCCTCTAGACCAAGAAAATAAAAATAAAAAATAAAAAATAGAAAGGTGATTG